GAAAGGGGAAAGAGAGGGGCTCCTGGCTCCATGCAGCAGCAGGCCGTGGAGGGATCTGAGCAAGAAGCCACTCCAGGCCCCTTGCCGGCATCTGTGCTTGCAGCCCATCCTGGCACCCTCCCCTTGTAGAACACCCCACCCCCACCCCCATCTCTGCCTCCATCTTCACGTGCGTTCTCCCTGGTGCATGGCCTGCTCTGGGCCCAAATTTCCCCCTTTTCATAGGGACACCAGGATATTGGATGAGGACCCACCTTAATGGTCTCATTTTAACTTGACTGCCCCCGGAAAATCCCTATCTCCAAATACAGTCACATTCCGAGGTCCTGGGGTTAGGACTCCAGCCCTCTGTGGGGACACAATTCAACCCCTAGGAGACCTCTAAGTGACCCAGGGAGGCCACCCCATACGGCCCGTGAGCATGTGGACCCCTACAAATTGGGACTGCGTGGCAAGGCTGGGCCCCTGCACGCAGCAGCCTGAGGTCCAGCTGGAGAGAGGCCTGTGAGCGCCCAGCACCCCTCTGACGGGGAAGGGCATGCTCTGTCAGGGGAGGCTGAGTGTGTCCTTTACACCAGCCTCCTGGGAAGCACGGTTGTTCTTCCATGGGAAGCAATAGCCTTCGGTGACATTGAGAACTCCTGATCCTGATCACAAGGCTTCAGGAAACGGGTCTTCTGAAAGATGAGTGTGCGGTAGACTCTGGTGGGTCCTTTTACTTTTACCAGAGTAAAAGGTGTGGAGCCCAAGCAATGACAGTGTTCTGCCTGCCTTATCTGAGCCTAACTGCAGATGTGCTGAGACAGTGGGGACACAGCACCAGGCCCACGGACTCTAACTGCATGACTAAGGCAGTCGGGTGAAAGCTGAAGCCAACACAGAGACCGTGACTGGGCTTCCCATCGTCAGAGCTCCTGGATCAAGCCCTTCCTGAAGCTAGTGACGCTCTGCAATGACATCCGTCTGTGAGCTCCCTCCCCGCCTGCATGAGCTGGTTTGAGCTGGTTTTCTGTCATCAGCCAGCTAGACAGCCCTGACATGCACATGGGCACCCAGCACCAGGAGCCCAAAGACCTTCCTGAGAATACGGCCGTACCAACAGCTTGCTGCGCTGACCCCACAGAACAAAAGGAGCAAAAGCCACTTGGCAGAGCCAGAGTGAAGCACATGCTCTCGTGCCAGCGCTGGACGTCTGTGCTTCACGGTACCGCCGACGCCCTGGCCAAACACACCAGCCCTCGCCCTGGTTTTCCGCTCCCTGCTGCAGATGGAACGCCACTGCCACACCAGCCTGTGTGGGGACAGCCCGCCAGTACCCGTGCGTTTCCCGACAGGCCCAGGACAGCACCGATGGCTGTGTGCCCGTGATCGGCACCAACAGAGCCTGTTCCAGCCTGACTTGTCCACTTAAAATACATAATCGCTTTAGTCATGAAAGGCAATGGCATTAAGAGCCCTTGTAACTAGACATTTCTGCACAAATACCATTAGGCCGAGACAGCCTGTCCTGAGGCCCCAGCAAGAAAGGAGCCTGGAGCCCGTGGGGCGGCAGTCCTGTCTGACCATCATCTCGGGTTTGGTCCCGGACCACGGCGCCGCCTGCAGCTCTCAGGGCACAGGCTGAGGTTACGAGGGCCTGGGGCTCCCCAGACATCACAAGTTCTGTCATTTCTGTGTACAAACTACTAACTCCCCCACCCCTTTCCTAGACAAGCGTGTGGGTTCTATGGATATAAAAAGACTGAGAAAAGAAACATACCACTGGCCTGAAACCACTGGTTAGAGTGCCAGTTATTATTGTCTCTAATAAATAGTTCTAATTTTCCCCAGCAAACATATGAGTGTATCTGGGTTTTGTTGACTGTTTCTCTATTTTGTTACCTGTAGAACTCTCTGGAAATATTGGGTTGGTCAGTGGACTGCGGCAATGCCTTCAGCAGGCTGACAGAAAATGGTCCACAGAGGCTGAGAAGACACTCTCCCCCTCCGACCCTACTCATGGCTTGGATGTAACCATCTCTGTTCAAGAGCTTAGGGCACTGAGTGAACAGTTCCTGCCTGCCAACCCCCAGAGGAGGAGACACACGACTTATATGAGAGGGGACCGAAAGAGCAGATGGTGTGGGCCCACAGTCCGGATACTGAGAGGTCCCCTTCCTTCCAGCCCGATGACTCCTGGCTCCAGTAAATATTGACTGAGCACCCATAATGGGCTGAGTCAGGATGTCAGGCTGCCTACGCGCACGTGCATGCACCCATGTCAATATGCAGAGAAAGGTCCAGAATAGCCAAGCTGATGGCATGGTTAGCTTGGTGCAGAGAAGAGACTCAAAGGCACTTGAGTTTTCACAAATCGAATATATCAATTTACTGCCCGAGTAATGAGAAATGAATGTGAAAAGCTCTCGCGCAGGGTCTGTATGTGCTTGGACACAGACAGCACGTGTACGCACACAAATGCACACGCCCCGTTTCTGTATGTGCATCTGTTTCATAACATAGCAAGACACTGTGCAGCATGTGCATTTGCACACACATGTGGAAAGGTCTGGAAATTCTGCAAGGAAACACCAAAATGTTAGCAGTGATTGGGGTCAACAGCCAGTGCAGTCAGGGGGAGGAAAATCACACAGGGCACGCTAACTTTCTACTTGACACACCTCTGTGAGAGGTGACTTCACTGAACATCGACTGCCCTTGAAGCCTGACGAAGGAAAATGACTTCAAAGATGTCCCCACATATTCACAGCCTCTGTGAAAGTGCTGTTGAGGACACAACTTCTCCAGCTCAGTTCTGTGAATCAACAGTTCAATGTTTTATGTACACAGAGGGCTCCAGAGCGCGTTTGAAGGAATGCAGGCAATCATACCGAGAACAATGGTCATTACAGATCTGTAGATAAAATGTCGCCCTCAGCGAGCTTAAACCTCAGGGACCATGAAGCTGTATTTGAGGCAGTTTTAGCTTTTTTTCAGGCTGAAGGACCTCTCAGAGAGCCTCCTCTGAGTCCGAGACTCACTGGCTAGGACCCCTGTTTCCATAAGTCGTGAGGATCTATTTTCTAATTGCTTTCCCTTCATGGTGAAATAATTCAAACACCACCATTCCCTTCCAAAATGAGAGCAAGAGCTAAATTTAAATGCAATAACTTAATGATGCTTCTGCAATTCTAAGCAGCCAACAAGCTATCAAAAAAAAAAAATCAGCGCGTTCCAGATAGGAAGCATTCGCACACATGCCTAGCTCTCGTCTCAGCAGCTTTCAACCCCAGAACGAGGGAAATAAAAGTACCAATAATCCGCTCTCAAAATAACCTGCCTGTTACCCTGGAGAGCGGTGCTTCTGCCTCCCCAGGCCGTGTAGAATGAATGAACTGGGGAAAATCACACGCAAATAACTGCCAGCATCACTCAGTGAGGCATATCCTGTTCACAAGTGTTCCTAATGACACATGTGCTGAGGGCATGCAAATAAACACCTGCTTATACATGACATCCATTGGAGAAACTACTACTGTGGTACTGATAATGATCAAAGATAAAGGGTTTGGGAATATTTTCAAGGCACGTACCCCCCTGCAAGGACCCTGCCTTTACTAATTAAATTATTTTTTTTGTGGGGGAGGGCTCTCTAATGGGAAATGAATGACTACCAGATGTATATCCTATATCTGAGACAGCTGAGTTTCACATGCAGAAGATGAACCCATAAAACAGAAATCATAGGACTGAGTGTAAATTTAAGTCTGCTGAACACTTACTGGTTGAGGCCACTCCTACCATCATCATCACCAACCCCACCATCACCACCATCATGCCCACCGTCACCATCATTCCCACCGTCACCATCACCATCGTCACTACCACCACTCCCACCCCCACCACCATGCTTACTGGAGTATGACCCTCAGACCCGTTTGTTTCTATCAGGAGTGGCCCCCAACGCCAAGCCCAGACAGAGGCACCAAAGGTCCGGCTGGTTTTCATTCTGCTTCATGCTCTAAGTGTCTGACTAACAACCAGTGCCTGGCCAGCCACCTGCCACATGAAAACCTCTGGCACAAAGAAGCGGCTATCATCCTTACCTCCTACAATCACGTCATGACCACACGGGGTGAGTAGCCGACTGCCCGTGTCGGGTCAGCCTCCGCACGGGAGCCTCAGACCAGACACCGTGTGACGGGATGAGCGAGCCGCCCAAATTTCTCTCCTGGGCTCTGCACCTACATCTAACTGCTGCTTTTCTCCCCGTGTTTAGGTGCAACTCAAACTCAAAACAGAGCTCCTGTGCAAAGCCAAATCACAATCTTCCCCCAAATCGGATTCTCGATCAACCTTTCGCGTCGTAGGAACTGGCAGCCCCCTGCACCACACTGTCCTCGCCAGGCTGAAAGCCACGCTTGTCATCTCTCCTCGCCATCGCCCGCCCCCGTCCACCACGACGACTGACAGGCCCACCTGCTCCAGTTCCTCTGGAGTCTCTCCAGGGTCCCCCTCTTCTGTCGCTAACACCCTGTCCTAGCCACCCCTGCCACTCATCTGGGCGTGGTGGCCTCCCCATTCTCCTTGCTGCCACATGTGCCTCCATCTTCACTCAGAATTTGGTGTGATCATTTTAGAAGGTAAATTTGACCATGTCACTCTCCTACCTAAATGAAACCTGCCACTACTGGCTGGCCGTGGCTCTTAGGATTTAAAATCGATACCCTAACACACCCTGTGAGGTCCTACATAAGCAGCCTGTCCACCGCCCCCACAGCTGTGGCCAGACAATCACTTTTCATGCATCAAGCTCCGTTCTGCCTGGGGGCCTATGCACTGTTTTTTCCCCACGGCACTGCTGTCTCCACGGGGGGGTACACACAGCACCTGCTTTGGCCACCATGCTGGCCCCCCAGCTAACTGACATACAGTTGGCACATGAGCAACGCATCTTGAATAGACCATTAAACAGCGACAGAATGGACATAGGGCCTCAGAAGGAAGAAAGAACGACTTACCACTGAGTTCCACGGGTGGGTTCCTGGTCTCAGGACAGGAAGGGGAAACTCCCAGGCGGGTCTTCCGATTGTTGGATCTGCCAAATGTGTCTGCTGGACCTACGGGCTTCAGGTGTGATGGGTCATCTCTAAACTGCAGGAGGAAGCGTATGGTCTTCGGTCACAGAAGAACAGCCTGTTAGGTGGGCTTTTCTGCCCCACTCACCTTCCTCCACGCCTGAGACGCAGGGAAAATCAGGAAGCGTGCTATCACGTTCCAGCTCACAGCACTGGGGGCTGAGCGACAGAACTGAGACTTAAGTCACGGTCCCAGCCTGCCGGGTCTTTCCCTTCAACCAAACTTCCTGGTGGAGAACAAAGCAGAGATACATACACACCGACACAAAGCTCTCCTGACTGTAAGTAGACTTCCACGCTCCTTAATGTCCTAAGAGAAACCGCACAGAGTCTGGCTAAAGATCTCTCTTTCTGTGACTGCAACGTGGCCTGGCTGATGAGAACGACAGACAGAATGGAGACCACAACTCAGCACGCAGCTTGCACTGCACATAACCCTAACTTCGTGAACATGGCTGACACCGCGAGACGTGTTACTCTAGGTCAAACCAACCTAAAACCAAGCAGCGTGCCACAGGGGGCCAGCTCTCAGGGAATTCCCATCTTGCCAGCGAATATTCAAAAACAGAAATTCCCATATTTCAGTAGAACTTCAAGTTGACATAAACAATCCAGACATCAGAAGTTCTTTTACTTCCCTCTTATTCTGTGAATGAAATGTTGTTAAACCTCTTAGAATCACAGAATCAGATGGTAAGTGGGACTGTCGGAGGTTTCATCCGAGTGCCCAGCATCTACATAAACAGCAGGGGCTCGTGGGAGAGCAAACAGCACATCAGGAGCCAGCCTGAAACAGGGAGCCCAGGAACCGTCTGTAGGACCAAAAAGCAACTTTTTTCAATAAAGCTGACACTTTCTGAGAGCCTGTGAGGTTCCTGGTGGTGGCTGGAGCCAAGTGAGGCCGAGCCCTTCCGGGACACACCGTCTGACAGGAGGCCAGAACGTCCACGCACAATTTTAATTCAAGCTAGACTTTAATAAGATTTAGAACGATGTGCAAAGGCGATATGAGGGGAAGATGTCTAGACAGGAGATGAGGGGTTTATCTCCTGGAGACAGCTACCGACAGAGCTCGGGACTGAGGAAACAGGTGGAGCTCACAGCAGGGAAGTCAGTCAACAGAGACCCCGCCCCAGCCGCCAGGCACAAGGCAGGCAGGTGGGGCTCCCCACACCCACAATGGCCCCTGCTGACAGCCCCAACCTACGTAACAGGAAGTGCAGTTCTTGACTTAGGAAAATTGATAAGTCAAAAATAGCAGTGCAGGCATATTGCTTAGGATTACGGAGGTAATTTAAAGACAAAACTACTAGAAGGGTTAAAAGCAGATTAAAGGGACAATGGAAAGAAGACAAGAAAACAGATGACGGGGTTTATTATACACCATTGGGCACTGTTGATTTTTTCATTATGTGCATGTAGCTTAAACTTAAAAATACAGTTGGAGCTCAAAAGGCAAGCTTATGTCTGCTTTGGAAACTCCCCCAAGTTTTAAAGGGAACCTTATCCTATTGCACTAACTCACTCAATAAGCTTGTCTTTTCTCTAAATTACATGAAACAAACAGCTATCAAATAACATCTTTTTTTTTTAATCTATACATCTAAAATCAGCTGCTCCGTGTAGGAATGCCTGCTGGACGCAATGAAAGGCATGGGAGGTCTCCACATACATCTGATGGGCCGAACAGAAAGTGAACTGAGGCAGAGAGACTTCCAGAAGAAGCCGGCCCAGCAGAAGCACTTCCTGTGTGTTGACAACCTCCTTTTAATGCAAATCACCCCCAAAACCCATGGACCCACCACCTGTTTTGTCCTTCTAAGGAATCATGTTCTCTCAGAGAAATAGTTAAAGATGCCATAAAAGTAAGAAAATAGACAACCGTGATAACTTACTAGTTACGCAAATATTTCCTAATTCCATGAAAGAGAAAAACATTTACAGCGATTTTGCTGCTGTCTACATAGAACGAGTAAATTCACCTTTTTCCCCCTTTGTCTTTCTGGCTCTGAGTCTGTGCTTCTTCAAGCATCTTCCATCCTGGGCTCTGGGTCCCGTTCCCGGCCCACTCACAATTGGGGCTAAATGGGCCTCAGAGCTTTCCACCTCACCAGGCTGCCCGGAGAGCTTGTAAATGATTATGGAGCACGGAAACTACTCTGTATGGTTACGTGTGCGGGGTGATTGTTATTAATTCAAAAGTGGTCCAGCGAGACGAGGCCTTTGAGGGGACGTGCACAGCCAACTCCAACGACGCCGCAGTAGATCTGAATGTGGGGCTCAGCTATCACTTCAGACAAAGGGGTAATTAACAGAGCTGTTTGGGCAGATCTGGCAGCAAGCAATGATTTATTGATGCCCATTTTATACGTAGCCATCAAATGCCAAGCCACATAACACTGCCCACCTGCTCTGCCCTGCAATCAGTTCATCTCTGCGCACAAAATAAATGCTTCCCCGGAGGGGAGAGCCAGTCTTTGCTACTCAGTGTCAGGAATAGATTCCACCCAACTGTTTCCTACAAGATTCTCCCCACACAGGAAAAATGAAAACGAGCCCACTGCTCTTACAGCCAGCATGAGCCTCCTGACGTCTTCACGTATATTATTTCAACCAATATCGGACTTTTATGAAATAAGAATGCTACAATTAGCATCATAGTCTAATTTTATTCATCTAAAACCTTCATGATGTTAAACCTGGCCTCACTGGTCAGGCTCACAGAATTGGCAAATGCTGCCCAAAATCGAACACGAAGCAAGAGTGAAAACTCCCACGGAGGATGTCACGACTCTGGAGCCGTGCTGTTTTTAACGCCGGTTTTTTCCGGGGTGCCAACCAAGCACAGCCAGACAGACTTGCTCTGGACAGAGACTTCCTGAGGGGCATGACTCAGTGGACAAATACGGGGTGTGCCACCTGCCGCAGGTTAACCTGTGGTCTTTTGTCCTGAGCAACACTGTACTGAGTGTCCTGCTCACAGCTTACCCAGCGAATGACCCTCGGTGCCAAGGACCCTTCCTAAGCGCACACCGGCCTGGGGACAGATTCAGAACCAAGTGCCCACAGGGCAGCAACAGTGACTGCAGCACAGCTAAGACCCAAAGGCTTTGGGACCAGGGCTCCTTACAGACTCCAGGACTGCAAACAAACCGTCCCGTCTCCCCTCTCCGCCTCTCCCAGCCCATGGGGCAGGCCATCCTCAAGCCAGTGGCATCCAGGGGTAGCCGTCCCTGCCTGTGTGCTGAGGCCACATCTCCTTAACCCACAGACTGTCCCCAGCCCCAAAGTGGGTACTTACAAGTTGCTGGGATGGGCCTTCTGGTGGATCAGATAGGCAAGCCCGGGCCACACACACAGCACCAGCCTCTTATCTCCCCAGGATGCCAGGGCCCCCGATGTGTGTGCTGGGCAGCGAGCTTCAAGCTTCAGGAAGACTATTTACTTATTCATGGACTGCCCCAGCCAGCCAGGAACTGCTTTGTGTCAGCTGAATAGGATGGTAATTCAATCCCCAAACGGGAACTGCTTGGCACATGGCACATCTGTCATCATGAGTCACGCAGATAAAGGACACGGCTCCAGAGCCACTGGTGAAACCTGTGTTTTGACAACACACACCGTTACCGGGCACTGCCCGCTGTTCCTCAGTCGTGCTCTTGGCCTCTGACTCTACCCACCCTATATACATTCTCGTGGGAATTACACCCGGGACCGTATATACCCCTGGGAGAAGCAGGGATGCCGGAAGCGCTCGCTCATCTGTTGAAGGAAGTGTGAGCACTGGGAACAGAGAAGAAGGAAATGCTTGGGAATCAGCTAGAAAAAACTGAAGGGGCAGGGAAGCGAGCATCATGGGTTTACAGTAGTTAATGCTTTGTCAGCGTCATCTCCCCAACGATGGGGCCTCCAGCATCCAGAAGTGATGGCATTCACTAAGAAGACACAGGATTGACCGGCCGAGTGGCTCAGTTGGTTAAGAGCTCACTCAAGAGTGCGAGCTCTGAGCAACAGGGTCGCCAGTTCAATTCCTACACGGGGCCTGAGCTGAGCTGCCGTTGAGCTGCCAACAGGTGGCAGCATGGCTCAGCTACAAAAAAAAAAAAAGAAGTCACAGGATCCAGAGAAAGGCCTGACACTTAGGGCTCAGAGGAACCGAGTCAGGTGATGGGGTCCAAGTCCTCTGGTTCCCACAGAACGTGTTAGAGGAGGCCCATCTCCACTCCGTTCCTGCTGTGCTCGGGCCTACTGGTCATCTGTCCTTGAGAATTCAAAGCCTGATTTCTCTGTTTCAGCCACATGAAGCCTTCCTCACTCCCAAGCCCCCTACGAGCCCTTTCTCTACTCACCTCCTTCTCACGGACCTGGGACTCAGCCCTCAGAACCGCCCTCTCTCCCATGTAGCCTGAGCTGTGTTTCCCGTTGTTCTCCAGTTGGCACAGCCCACCCCAAAGGCAGCCCGCGGTCCACACAGGATGCTGGGGACTGCTGTGAAAACGCACACCCAGGCGGGCCCGCGCCCGCGTACCTCTGCCCTCCGAGACCATAAGCTCCGCGAGGGTACAGACCACGCTGATCGTGTTCTGTGCGGCATTCTAAGCACCCCACAGGATGTCCGGCCACACAAGCTGCTCAAACAACGGTTGAAATACCAGATGAATGAAGCCTTCAGCGTCACTGCTGCCTTGAAATGCGTATCAGTCAGGATTGGCCAGGTTATGCTGAGCCTTCGAGCGTCAGCGGCTGAAAATGACAGGTCTCTGTCCCACTCATGCTCTGTGTCTGTGGAGTGTCAGCTGTAACTCTGGTCACAGGGTCTTCACTCCACGACCAGGCTGATGGAGCATAAGTGGGAAAGTGTCCACAGTGGCATAAATAAACAATTCCACACCACACAGACATTGGCTGTCTCGCTGAGATGTTCTCCTGAACTGAATCTTCACCTCTTCACCCAGCCCATTCCATCCTGTCCTCATCACCTCGCAGTCTGGCCAGAGGCGACCTCCAATGTCCAGC